TCAGCACAGACTTCCTAATGTCTTTTTCTATTTAAGCATGTTCAAATCTGAACCAACAGGACTGTTTCTTTAACGTTCATACCAACATGTTTTATTTGACTCCACCATAAAAACCAGTTGTGTTACTAGAGAGGCATCTTAACAATGCTCTTACAGAACTGTGTACAAGACTCTGAATGTTACTGGGTGTGCTGGTATGTACAGTAACTCCTGTCAAAACTCTCCTCCTCAGCTTTTTGTCTTCACTGACGGAGATGTGTGCAACACCAAAGAAGTGATCAATCTGGTGAAGAAGAATTCAGATTTCCACAGGTGAAACCACAGAGTCCTGCTCACAGTGTGTCCCATGTTGTAGTGCTGTCTGTAAAACTGTTTACATCTGTATTGTAGGTGTTTCTCTTTTGGGATCGGAGAAGGGGCCAGCTCTGCTCTTATCAATGGGTTGGCCAAGGAAGGAGGAGGTCATGCTCAGTTCATCACAGGAACTGACAAGATGCAACCCAAAGTAAGATATGGCAAAGCTGTTGAGTTACAAACTGTTGAAACAACTCATTACAAATCATGGCTTCAGTAAGTTAAAGCTCAAGCCGTTTTCAGACATGATCTCTGGTGGATGTCTGGAGAGTTGGGTACTGCCTCTCTCAGGAGTTTGCCTTTCACACATGAACAATGCAGCAGGAGATTCTCTGCTCAAGCACATTCAAAACAACACAGAAATCTCCAGTGTTCAGGTGATGGGTGGTGCAGCAGGCTGAGGCAGGACATGATGTATAAATCAGCACATCAACACTAATGTTGCTCCTTATCGCCAAAAGCTCTCTTGACATATTTGTCTGTATCTTTCATGGCTCCACTTTTTTATCCTGAAATATTTGTTTTCTTTAATTTTTGCATTTGTCGAGCATTAGAAACAACATCAACAGTCCCACTAGCTTGCAGTGAACCCTGCCGAGGATCTTCTGCTGCCTGCAGACTTTTTCTAGGGGACTGGCCTGTGAAACTCCACAGATTGTCTGGAGGATCTCTGGAGTTCAGTGCATGTCTGAAAGCAGCTTCAGTTTCTGTTTACTTTTGGAAACTGTATTTTCCCCATCAGGTGATGCAGTCGCTGAGATACGCTCTGCAGCCAACTTTGGTAGACATCTCAGTCACATGGGATTTGCCTCCAGGAGTGTCTGTCACTGTTCTCTCACAACCAATCACAGCCCTTTACCAGGGTCGAAGGTCACTGATTTATGCCCAGATCACCGGACAGGTGGGTGCAGCACCATCCTATAATGAAATACCTCTCTGCTCTGCATATTATTATACATCATTAAATGTTCATCAGTAAGAATACCATGTATAACATTCAATTCTTAATATTACTCAGAGTTCAGAGGCAGCAGAGGGCTGTGTGACAGTGAAGTACAGCCTGGCAGGTCATCCCTCTCAGAGCCAGCTCCGTTTCCCTCTCAAACCTGCAGAGGACGTTGGGTACAAATTTTGAGTCATTAAGATAGAATAAATTAACTTGAATAGCTGGAAAATGCACCAAGCTTTACGAAACAGGATGTTTTTGAATACAAGAAACACTGTTACATGTCGTTAACTCCACTTAGTGACAAAACAAAAGACTTGATGGTATTATTCATCTATAAATTTGAAATGTTTCAGCACAGTGAGTGACACATTTCTATTTCTATCAATAAAGATGCTTCTTTTTCGTTCCATAGGAATCAAAACTTACAATGGTAACTTTACATCTCTAAAATCTAGGGTTCATGTTCACCACTGACTTTTTGTGTAGCTCATTAATAAGAAAGTCAAAATGTAGCAGTAATGACATAAATGTTATGTATTTATACTGAAAAGTAATCTGATGTTTTTAGACCTCATAAGACGTTTTAGCTCCGTGTTCACTCTTCTGTCTGCAGACTAACAGTCCACAGGTTGGGTGCTCGGACTCTGATCCGCTCCCTAGAGACAGAGGAGAGTGAACACAGAGGACAGCAAGATGAAGGAGTGAAGGGGATGGTGGTGGAGCTCAGTGTCCAATCAGGAGTGAGCAGCTCCTTCACGGCCTTCATCGCTGTCAACAAAGGCAACAGCGAGCCGATTAAAGGACCTGTGGTGTGCAGATATGTTCCCATACCTAGTAAGGAGTTTTTTCAAATAGCAAAGGAAAAACGGATACCAAGGGTTTGATGATTCAAGACGTTTTGACCAGTGTCTATGCTGTTGGTCCTGTGTGTGTTGCCATAATAACGCTATACTTCTGTGGTGTTGCCTGTAGTGAGGGGGAGCCCATGTAGGTTAGACTTGAATCTAGCACATCCCCCTATTTTAAGTACACTTTAACTTATTGTGAGTTTTATAAATGAGCTCAGAAACCAGTAGTTTACTCACTGTTTTTTATTCACTAATTCTCATGTTGTTCACTCAACCTCAAACTTCTTATTCCTTGAAGAATACACGCATCCAATCGGAGGGAAATGTGAGTAATACACACAGACATTGTTTCTATTCAAACAGTAAATTGATGTAAAGATTGAAGAAAACAACACATTTTGTGAGGTTGGTTTTTGTCTTGACCGCTTTAATTTCTCTTAATCTTAATGCCCTTAGTGCTGGGTGGCGGTAACATGGATTGTCAGCAGTATGACGACTTACCTGAGGACCTCTGTAAGTACAAGGCTGAATTCAATTCAACTTTATTTGTATAGTACCAAATCACAACATACATTCTTTCAAGTCACTTTACATAGTAAGTTCGAGACCTTACATACGGGCAAACACTTGGCGACTGTGGAGAGAAAAAACTCCCTCATTAACAGGAAGAAACCTTGAGATCCAGACTCAAATTGAGCATCCACCTGTCTCAAGGAAGAGGCTGGAGGAAAAGAGCATAAATATTTATTTATATATAGCATATAATGATATATAGCACCCGTTAATACTAATGATAATGATGATACTGATGATGTTGAGTAGTGTCAGATCAGGAGTCAGAGATAAGGGCTAAAGGGTTGTTCAAAATGAGGCTGCTCTACTATTAACAAAGTCCTCATGAATGGGAGCTGCACATAAAACACATCTGTGTACTTAAAATGCAAAAGAACCATTTGTTTCTCATATATATTTTGTTCACCAGCTGAGAAATGTACATCTTGATTTGTCATTGTCCCGCATTAAAGAGCTATGTCATTGTGCTGGGTGACATCTTGCCTCACCATTAGAGTGATGGCCAGTGGATTTATTGTCACACCACTCTGCTCTCCCAGTAGCTTGTAAGAAGGGAGCAAGTTCTCAAGCAAAGTCTGGCGGCTTTTTTCCTGGTATCAAGAAGAAWTTCCAAGCTGTGGGGAAACCAAAAAAATCTTCGCTGGGAATGAGAGCTGCCCCCCATCAGGCTCCAAGACAGGATGGGATGTCCAGCTCCATGTATGATTCAACTTGTAAGTAGACCAAACCTGCCAAACCTCCATTAATGATGTATTTTGTTCTTATTTACTCTGCCTTCATCAGACTGGTATCCCTGTAGTAGCCTCTAGTGAGTAGACTAATGCATTTTGTAGTCTTTTGTAGGCATTTTTGATCAGGCAGAAACAAGTGAATCATTACCTACAGCAAGGGGGTTATGTTTTGGTCTGTCTTCTCCTGGAACATTAAGAKATGTTTTTCAACACTAATTCATGGATCTTGATGGAGATATGAAAGCCTCAATGATTAAGTGATGTAGCTATGGGATAAATGGATAGATGTTCGTATTCTTTTTTTCTTCAGACTCAAGTCTTGGAGAAAATGACTGCACCCTATCCATACAGCCACCCAGAGACCCTTTGCTGCAGCTGGTGTCCCTGCAGAAGGCATCTGGCTGCTGGTTGCTTGATCCGGATCTGGCTGCTGTACTGGGAAAGACCAGCGAGGAGGTGGAGAACACAAAGCCTCCATTGGTGTGTTATTATCAAAAATTATGACACAAATGAATAAGGGGTTCTTGTTTTAAAATTATGCAGTGATATCATATAAAGTTGTTCATTTGAAAGTGATTATTTTTAAAATATATATTTGCTGAATTAGGTGAACCAGGCAGTGTGGGCCACCATTCTGGCTCTGATCTGGCTTCATGGCTTCAAGATGGATGCAAAGGAAGAGTGGGAGCTTCTGGCTATGAAGGCTGTGTCCTGGCTTCGTGCTCAGAACGGTAATGATCATAATATTAAGAGCTAATCTGTTGTTTTTAWCAATGCATGCCAGGTAACATTAGCTCCTGATGATTTGTATTGTGTTTTTCTTTGTTTTTTTCCAGCACCATCAAAGTGTGTGGAAGCTGGAAACACACTGTTGGGTTGCAATGTGCAGAAAGATGCCCTGGGGCTCTGAGGATTTAATTCAACTGCAGTTTAACTCTTTTGTATTGCTGCGCATTTTACAGCATTTATTTTGTCTAACTTCAACCCAACAATAAAGTCTTGTTCTATCACGTTTTTCGTTTTCATTTGATGTTACCCCTGCAATGGAGGTTATGTTTTCACCCGTCTGTTTGTTGTTTTGTAAGCAAGATTATGCAAAAACTAATGGAAATAGTATCAAGATACTTGGTGGAAGTGTAATGTATGGGTCATGGAAGAACCTTTCCCTTTTAGTGTGGATCTAGGACTTTTTTTCACTTTCTTTAACGGTACTTTTTTTTTTTTACATTTACCCAGGTTTTGCAGGGAATCATTTATTTTGTCTGCAGAATTGGGTCCGGACTTTCTCCAGATTTCGCAAGATCACTTGTTTTTGTTTATTGCACATCGACACTTGTGTCAGCTCTTCTCACCAAAAGCTCACTTAATATTTTTGAAGGTGTCTTCTACTTGTACGGCACCGCTTTTTCATTATCGTGCCCACTCGATCCTGATGAATCCTGCGGAGGATCCCCTGCTGTGATCTCTCATCTGGTCCCCCGGACTTTCTGCAGACTTTTTAGGGGACTGACCAGAGAAAATTCTTTGAAAGTCTGGAGGCTCTCACTAAGACATATGTTCACACATACAGCCCCTGCGGAGAAAGTCCCGAGGATCTCCAGAGCTCAGCATAACAGCGAAGAGCAGCACATTCAGAGAGTGTGTTCATTCCTGTCCTCCACCACKAGGCAGTGATGGCGTGCATGTGTGACAGGTGAGATATAGAAAGTGAAAGTGCTGCCATGTCACGGACTGTCCTTATGTAGTCTGTGCTTCTGCTCTGATAACACGCGCAGCCACACYTTTCTGAACAGAGCCCCAATATCAACTTCAAGCTCCGCCCTTCCCGGTGCTCTGCAGTCATAACCTCGAACGCACCAGCAGGCGTGACTGGCACTTTTCTCTCGCTGCTTTCGAGACAAGACTTTTCCTCGTTTCACACGTTYGTCTGCACATCCAACACTGAGCAGGTAAACTGCTGCTTCTTCTCCGGATTTATACATTTGTAGATTTAGATTTACGCGTGTAGTACAGAATGACGCAGATACATGACAATAACGCAATTTACGGAGYTGTAGACGTCACACTGGAGCTGGAGACGAATGTCAGTGGTAAAATATATCGCTGCAATGTGGCGTTTACAAAAACCCGATGCCTTTTCCCACTTCTTTTACGATCCGGAACTTCCCATCAGACTGGTGATGCATTCAAGTGTCTCTGTGACTGCTCCACCTAACGTCACGAAACTGGACATGGTGACTGTGACACGATGGACGAAGTGTAACTGATTGTGAATTCAGTTTTATTTGTTGAATTGCGCAGCAAAGTTAATTGTAGCTGAGTAGACTATTAAAAAAGATCCCACTGTCCTTCCTTTTTAACATGGAGGAGCTCCTATGTTGCCAAACCCACCAAACTCCATTAAAAAAAGTTGCAATTCAATCATTATAAATACAATTAATTCAAAGTCTAACTCGAAGTAATGAGGRTTTATTTCGACGAAACTGTAATGGATTATTGCTGAAACTGTGGAAAGACGACCAAGGATGGTTTGAGTAAGTTTTATTCAATTTCTGTCGACTTAATACTAATTGTGTTTTACGATGATTAAATTACTGTTTCTTTAAATGAGTTTTTTAAACTTTGGCTAGTGTCAGAAATGAGTGAGTCGCTAGAGACAAACGTGGTGTTTAACTTGCCCAGCAGCTGCCTGTTCACTCTACACATGCCACAAAATCAATCAACTGTTTTGTGTGATAATGTTATTTAATGTAATCTTTTTAAAAGTTCAGTGTGTTAAATTTAGTGACATCTAGTGGTGAAGTTGCACGTTGCAGGTGAATAGCCGTCACCTCGCCCTCCCTTTCCAAACATGACAGAGAACCTGTGGCAGCCTTCAGTTGTCATAAAACTCAAGAGGTGTTTAGTTTGTTTAAAAAGCATGGCGGCCTCCATGGAGAGGACCTGCTGCCTGATGGAAATATGGCCCAAGAATTGCAATGTGCCTCAACCGGTTGGGTAAGAGGACAAATATAGGGGAGAGAGGAGAGGTGGGTGGAGAGGGAGGAGGGGGAGGGGGGAAGACACAAGACAGGCAGAGACAAGCTGCAGTTGTGTAACAGTCATATAACTGGTTGTTATAATGAAACTCATAATAGAGATGCTTATAGATGTAACAATGGTATTAGTATAAGCATCAGTTATTATTATGTTTTTTATAATCATGATAATAACATAGCGTCAGATGTGGACCCTTTAGCTCTGGAGTCAGAGAGACCTGCAGAGTCAGAGAGATAGGGTAACACAAACTTTGGAAGTTAAACACATGAAGTAATGTGATAAAAACACACAGGGCCCAGAGTAGAGACGTGCTCAGTACATGATGGGAGTTCCCCCAGCAGTATAGTAGCAGTATAACTAAGGGATGGCTCAATCAGCTTTAAATAGTAGCTTCTAATGTGAACTTGTCAAATGTTTAATTTTGTCAAATACAAACTGCATGTCCAATGTCTCATAGTGGTTATAACCATAATTGCAATAAAATGTTTTTGATGACATCCATGTTAAGATATTCACTTCATACCACATGCAATGCAAAACATCATAAGTCCTTAAATGTGCTTGTTAATTGTTTCACAGATACAATGGAGTGCTGTGGACTACTTACTGCCGAGAAGGAACCAGGTACAGAGCGTTAATGTAATGTAGATAATAGAATCCTGTTTTTCACTTTATTAGACAGACGCTTGTTTAATATGGATATAAAAGAATGAAATGAGATGTTCTGAGGCTGGCCTCACCGACGCTAAAGTAGCCACTGTTAGCACCTGCGCTCGGCTCACACACGCCCTCTTCAGTTCTGGCTCTCTCCTGATCCACACTTCCCTTCGCAGATTTAAGCCACGACAGTAGTTTATTTGTTCTCTTCATTGTTAACCACTTCCACCTCTTCCCATCACAGCCTGTAGGCTACCAGCGGCGGATAACAGTCRATATCAGTTGGAATGCTACGTACAGCTACCCAGAAGCACTTGCAAACTTTTTTAAAGTATTAACTTAATTTGTATCTCCTTGCGTTTTYTTTTCATYGGTTGTTAAGATATTTTCTTCTATTCTCATATGTTGGATAGTATTTCATGTTTTAAATTTATTTTATTTTATTTATATTTAATCAAGTGATTCTTTTGCGTACTRCTAGAGGGAGCCCGTACCACACTTTGAGAATCACTGCTCTAAATAATACATAAAAGTCCTCAAGTCGTCTGAATATTGTTTTCGTTTCTTGCTCAGTTCCCCTGAAGAGCATTGAGGTGGAGCTGGAGGTGAGGGACCATGTGGCGACAGTGGTCTCCACTCTGARCTACGAGAACAAGGAGGACAAACCTCTGGAGGCTGTTTTTGTCTTCCCTCTGCCTGGAGACGCTGCTGTCTGTCACTTCAGTGCTCAGATTGGACAGACACAGATTATAGCTGTGGTTAAGGAGAAACAGMAGGTKAGCTGGACAGTGACGTCTCACTCACTGTGATGGATCTTAAAGAACACAGATCTTAAAGTAAAACACAGAGAATGTTGCTCACGTGTGTCGTCTGTGTCTTCAGGCTCATGAGGAGTATGATGATGCGCTGAGCTCCGGTCAGCAGGCCTTCCTGTTAGAGGAGAGCGAGCAGAGTCCAGATATATTCACTCTGAGTGTGGGCAGTCTGCCTCCAGGAGAGAGCGCCTCCGTCAGGCTGGAGTACGTCACTGAGCTGGCTGTGCAGGCGGATGACGGGCTGAGGTTTTGTCTGCCTGCTGTGCTCAACCCTCGCTACCAACCTCAAGGTAGGAGGGCCAGCTAGAACGTTTTGGTTTGGTGCACACCAAACTGCGTCTTGTTTGTCACTGTGTTAGTGTCAAGTACCAAGTGCACCAGAAATTACTGTTACCTAGCAACTACATAATGTAACCAAAGTATATGAACAGTACTAAAACTAAGTTATAATGTTGTCATATCACAGTTATCAATCATACAGCAACCAAAAAGATCCTCAGGTTTTTATGACAGCAGACATTGGAAACACAGAGGTGCCAAAATGAAAATGAACCAACCTACCATGCTAAATAATCTCAGATTTTTGAGCTTGAATTTAATATAAAAGAAATGGAAATCATGATATGGCAAACATCCAGCTGAAGTTGTAGAGCCAGTCACTGATCCTAATTTGCAAGCTAAAGCTTAGCACTGGTAACTGCTCATGGTTCTGCATATTTCATGTTGTAAGCCACCAGCTTCACACACCCTTCCAACTCATTCAAGCTCCAGTCATCCCCTGAGAGTTCTGGTGGCTAGCTAGCATGTTAATAAGATGAAGAATAGAAATGAGATAATGTTTTAGGCAGCGGAATGATTGTTTGAGAAAAAAGAGGCTCTTACTCTAAGAAGTATGTTTAACTCTGTTGTCCATTGACAGTTAAAATAGAGAAACCAAGATGTGGTCATTCCTACCTGACATCTGTCATGTATATTTCAATGTATTTATCTTTATTTACAATATAATTGTTTATTTACAAATGTTAAATTCTGTTAACTATTTGGTGTGGCTCCTGCATTTGTGCTGTGGCACATTAAGCTGACATAGCACAAATGCAGCAAACTGCAGTCARATCAATACCCTGACTGTCCTCCCCAACCTTGCCTCACTTTGTACWATTTTTCCAAATTCTTTTTACCTCAGACACATAAGAGAGTTCCTAATAAAKCATAAGAGTAAGAGTGGACCATGAGAGGAGGTGCAGAAACTGCATGCTCACCCCTCAACTTTCCTCCCAGGTGTAGGACCAGAAGTGCGCCTCACTTCTCCTCTTTTGGCCAAGGTTGCTCAGTCTATTCTCACTTGAACAGCGTTCTTGAATTGATTTTAGTCTGATCCCTTGTCTGGGACCAGTTTACYCTAAGAAACCCCTTGAGTAGTTGCATAACCTCTGAAAACGCAGCTCCCAAAAAAGTAAAACTTTATTGAGCCCCTGAGATACAGGGTATAGACTGGAATA